CAATGTCAACTTTAAAAAGGAACCATTAACTGCCTTAGTTAAGGGCCTATGGCAGTGGTTCCCCAACCTTTTCTTCACCATGGACTCAAGATTTAAACCATTATATTTCTTCAAGCTTTTGTGTACCCCGTGATGACAAGCAGCACTCCAGGGTCCATGGATCACAGGTTAAGAACCACTGGTCTTACAACTTCAAGGATCTTTGATGGCCAATAGTTTAGGTCAGGAATTAAATCAGTTGGATTAATCCAAGACACAGTCCTTCAGCTTTGACACCAATTCTCATCAACTCTTGAGAGATAACAAATAATCGGAATTCAATTTGAGCCCTCCCCCGCCCTCTTAATTTAGATTTTTGAGAAAAGCAAGACAGGAAGAAAAGGTCTAGGGACGAAAAAACAAAGCGTAGGTGTTCTGTCCTAGAACAAAGGCATGGACACACAGCTAGGCTAACCAAATTTTACAACGAATACCTCAGAACAGAAACAAGCCGCCTGACAGCTGCTTAAATAGCAAGCTGTCAGACAGAGTGTCCAATCATAGGGGCGCGCTTTTTCCGCTCGGCAGTCCAGCGCGTCTCAGCCAATCGCGGGAGGGCAGCAACAAACGAGGTCCGCCAGCGTCGTAACTGCGAGGACTCAACAGTAGGAACAAATTGGTTTCGGAAACAAAAAAGCAGCAAGATAATAAGGGAAATAGAGAGTGTTTAATAAATGGGATGGGAAACTTTGCCAAACACTCAGCTCAGTTCAGCATTTCTGATCACATTTTGGAGATTTTAGGGAAGGGACAAAGCTATAAAATTTAGCAGATTTGATTTATGTTACTTCAGATGTAACAGAATTGACTTTTATTTGTTGTTTTACAGTTGACAAAAAACTTCCTTTGGCTAAAGTGCCCATAAAGATGATGCTACATAATAGCTGGGTTGTTCCAATGGGGTCTTTTATATTTGTTATCAAACAAATATTCCCATAAAAAACATTTTTTTAAAGGCACGGTGTAAATATAAAAGAAAAACAGTAAAATAAGGTGTGGGTGTGTATGAAAATCTACATTTGAAGCTCTCTTCAAACAAGCTCTCACTTCAGAACCAATTGATGCAAATGAAAATGGATTAAAATACTACGCAAAGTATGACATAAATGCAGGGTAGCATATATTGAATAATTCAGGCAAGGAAAGTGTTCTTCGACTAAAGGATATATATTTGTGTGGCAATATAACATTGTTCATTGTTATGAACAATAAACTGTCTGTTAGTACCGAGGAGAAAATTTGTTCTCAGTGACTTTTGATATTTATTCTTGACACATTTGTTCATCATCCTTTAGTGTAATCACAAAGCTGAGAGATGGTGTGAGTAGAGCAAACATATTATGCGTATAATCTTAATAGAAAGAAACATATCTGGTAACAGAATAAGGACTTCTATTACAAATAGCCAAATATACATTTATAAATGTATAAACTATGACTCCATGTGCAACATTTATTTCTGCTATGTTTATATTAGGGAAAGGGAACGGTTCCCCTCACACGTATGTGCTAATCGTTCCTGACTCTAGGGGGCAGTGCTCATCTCCATTTCATAGCCGAGGAGGCAACGCTGTCCAAAGAAGTCTCCGTGGTCATGTGGCCAGCCAAAGACACACGGAATACTGTTATCTTCCCACCAAAGGTGGTCCCTATTTTTCTACTTGCATTTTTTACATGCTTTCAAACTGCTAGGTTGGCAGAAGATGGGACAAGTAACGGGAGCTCACCCCATTATGTGGCACTAGGGATTCAAACCGCTGAACTGCCGACCTTTCGATCGACAAGCTCAGCATCTTAGCCACTGAGCCACCACATCCCTTTTATGTTTAAATTAACTGTAGCTAATTGGATACTATTATCTGTTCAGCCTAAAGAGGAAATGAATCACAATCAAATGAACTGATTGTGGGACATAGAAATAGAGACTGTCTTCAACTTAACAACAGTTCATTTAGTGACCGTTCAGAGTTACAACAGCATTGAAAAAAAGTAACTTATGACCATTTTTCACACTTACGACTGTTTCACCATCACCCATGGTGATGTAATCAAAATTCAGGTGCTTGGCAACCAAGTCATATTTATGACGGTTGCAGTGTCCCGAGGTCATGTGATCACCTTTTGCAACCTTCTGATTAGCAAAGTCAATGGGGAAGCCAGATTCGCTTAACAACCATATTATTAACTTAACAACTGAAGTGATTTACTTAACGACTGTGACAAGAAATGCTATGAAATGTCGGCAAAACTCACTTAACAAATATCTCACTTAGCAACAGAAGTTTTGGGGCTGAATTGTTGGAAGTTGACAACTACCTGTATGCAGAGTTTCGTGAAATTCCTCCAAATTTGCTTCTATTTTGGTACTACTCCTGTCAACCCCTGAAGCCCGGGGTTTGCCATACCGGGGTGGGATGGAGCACTGGTGATGGGGGGGGGTGTAGGAGAGGCTGCAGCGGCATGCTGACGACTGCTGATGACCAGCTGGTCAGCGGAGGGCAAGTTGGGAATCAGCTGTGCAGAGGAGAGGCATGACGATATGAGGCAAGAAGCCTGCTGGGAGTCAGAGCTCCAGCTACTGGTCGACGACCAGCTGATCTGGCCCAACAATCAGTTATTCTGGGTCAAGGAATGGCCAGGCGGTGTCCCACCAGGCAGGCTAATGCACAGCTAACAACAGGGCAAGGCCAGCACTGGCGGAAGGGCGTGGCTCACATAAATAAAATGCACTGGGAGGCGGATCCTCCCAGCGCTGACTTTGCATCTTGGCATTTTGCTGTTTTGCTGCTAGAACTCATTGTATGCCAGTGTCTGGCTAAATAAAGCCAGTTAGCCTCCAAGCAAGTGGCATCTTACTACTGGTAAGTAGCTCGGACCTTTGAGTAGTTCGGACCTTTGAGAACTCCACTGACTCATTAAAGCAAATGTCAGCCATTTTAAATTCTTCAAAGTCATTCTTATCCCGTCATACATCTAGGGCAATTGTGTGCTCTTAGTCCCTCTCTGTTTTGCAGTGACTGGACCAAGTACAGTAATTGTCTTGATTTCTACTGCTTTGCACATTCCTTGGCCAGCTGCTCTGAAATGTCCTATCGTGGGCCTTATGTCTTCAGGATTCTGATATTGCAGTCCTGTTAGATCACCAGAGTTAGATCAATCCACACATTTCTGCATCCTGATAATATGTTAGCCATAGAGGGATTTTTCTTTCTTAAGATAATGTCACTTTTTCCAGAATATTCTCGGTATTCTCTTATAGCAGGGGTCTCAAATTTGATTTCATTGAGAGCCACATTAGGGTTGTGTTTGATCTTGTGGGACCAGGGTGGGCATGGCCAGGGTGAGCATGGCCAGCTCAATGTCACTCATGTGGTGGCCTGAGCACTCTGCCAGTAAAAATGGCCTCCCAAGCTCCATTTTTGGCTGCGGCGGCTTCCTGCAACCCTTTGCTAGCGAAAAGAGAGCTTGGGAGTACCGCCTGAGGTCCTTGTGAGATCTGTTTCCAGTTGTGATGACCTCTTGCAACCCAGCCCTCAGCCCTCCCTGTAATGTCCAGTGTGCAGACAGGAACGGAGGCTTGGCTGCTTAGACCATTAACTTTATTTATAACAGCAACTCCAACAAGTAACCCGCGTAGCAGCAACGAACGAACAGCCTGTCTGACAGCTGCTTAAATACCAAGCTGTCAGACAGCGCGAACCAATGGGCGAGCAAGGATTTCCCGCTAACTTAGCTGCTCACGTCTGAACCAATCGGCGGCAGTTAGCAACACGGCATGAGCGAGCGGAGTCGTAACGGTGAGGATTCAACACTCCCGACTCGATTTTCACTTGCAGAGGCACCGCGGACTGGTCCTTCACTGTTTCCAGGGCAGCCCCACAGGCCAGATCTAAGCACCCTGCAGGCCGGATCTGACCCCTGGGCCTTGAGTTTGACACCCCTGTCTTATAGTCACGGTAAGTATCAATCCTGTAAATGAATCACCTCTTTCTTGTTCTCAAACTGTTAATACTTGACCATATTTTGACTAGTGAGCATCTTAGGAAATGTTGCTCTTTTTGTTGCTCAATTACTCCGCACCACAGGCTCTTACATACATAAGTTGAACTCAACTCTACTGCTTCCCCATATCTAGTAAGTAATATGAGTTAGGAAGTATTTTCATATTGTAGTTTGAAGCCAATTCCTATTTGCGAGAAAACTAACTGGTGTACACCTCCGTATTCTTTTCTCAAACTTTCATTATTATCATTTTAAAATAATTCTAACATATACTGATTAGAATCATCAAGAAAAAAATATCAAGAAGGTTGAAAAGGTAATAGCCCAATGGTTAGTATCAGATGGACTACATTGATAATTAAATCAGAATATGAAATATTACCACTTTAAAATGTCTAGATGAAATATATCCTGTTCATTTTTATGGTTCAGATTTTAATGAATGGGTTTTTGACTGTTGGGTTCCTAATGGACTAAAATTTAGGGACTTAGTGAATAAAAATCAGGTAGGTACTAAGCATTTAAGAAATAAGAAGATACTTGAGTTCTTGCTGACAAAATCTGGATCTTGGGAAGTGATTGACTTCTCACCGAATGAATTGTGTGTTGTTGGAGGATTTAAGTACTGTTTAGAATAATCCCAATGGAAACATTTAAATGCATACGCTAAGATTGATTGGCAGCAAAGCTCTTTCTTTCTAATGTCTTGGCATTCTAAATAGACGTAACTAAGTGACACAGTTTTAAAATGAAAGAATGCATTCCTTATAGTATTATTGATTGTGGATATTTGAGTTAGCATAAAATCCAATAACCAGCTTTTGTACAAAGCAATTTATGGGCAGTGATAGGAGAGGAAAAGCTTTAAAAATTGTACCAAGCTACATAAAATTCGATGCACCTCAATTTGCCTCCTTTTATATGGTAAAGGTAAAATCCACCTTGCCCAATATTAATTCTCATTCCATTTTCCACGTTTCCTTTTGCAACAGGAAGTCTGAAGGCACCTTGAAATGAATAAATTTGGAACACTCAGGAAGTAAAAGGATAAGAAGACAGGGCACTGAATGCTAATATATGAAGTGCAGTTACCAAAAAAGTTCAAGAATTAGTCAGAAAATGTTCTGTGGTAGAATGCATATGTGCAAACCAGATTCTTTTTCTGTAGCTTTTAAAAACTATAGATGATAGAGATAATAGATAGATAGATAGATAGACAGATAGATAGAGAGATAAGTGGGTGGGTGGGTGAATAGGTAGGTAGGTAGGTAGGTAGATAGATAGATAGATAGATAGATAGATAGATAGATAGATAGATAGATAGATAGATAGATAGATAGATAGATAGATAGATAATGGATGGGTGGATGAATGATGGATAGATAGATAGATAGATAGATAGATAGATAGATAGATATAAGTGGGTGGGTGAGTGGGTGGGTGGGGGGGTGGGTGGGTAGATAGATAGATAGATAGATAGATAGATAGAGATAGATAGATAGATAGATAGATAGATAGATAGATAGCAATAGCATTAGCATTAGCATTAGCATTAGCATTTAGACTTATATATCACTTACAGTGCTTTACCGCCCTCTCTAAGCGGTTTACAGAGTCAGCATATTGCCCCCAACAATCTGGCTCCTCATTTTACCAACCTTGGAAGGATGGAAGTCTGAGCCTGGTGAGATTCGAACTGCCAAACTGCAGGCAGCCGGCAGGCAGCAGAAGTAGCCTGAGTACTGTGTTCTAACCACTGCACCACCACAGCTATAGATAGATAGATAGATCATCTAGATAGATAGATAGATGATATATGGGTGGATAGATAGATAGATAGATAGATAGATAGATAGATAGATAGATAGATTAGATAGATAGTTACTAAGTAAGTAAGTACATGGGTAACTAGGTAGATAGGTAGGTAGATAGAAGATAGATAGATAGATAGATAGATAGATAGATAGATAGATAGATAGAAATAACAATGCAAATCTAAAGCAAACAACTATTTATTTATTTTTAATTTGATTTATATGCCGCCCTTCTCTGGAGACTCAGGGCGGCTTACAATGTGCTCAGCAATAGCCTTCATCCTTTTGTATGTTTATGCCATAGACCACTGTACTACCAAGGCTCTTACTATAATCAGTCTGATACCAACCTGTATTTCACCAGGATTTTTGTTGTACAGGTAGACCTTGAAATTTCAACCACCATAGTGACCAGAATTTCCATTGCTAAGCAAGGCAATTTTAAGTGAGTTGTGCCCAATTTTTTGCCACTTGTTAAGCAAATCACTGCATTAAGTGTGTCACTGTCAAGGGATTTTGGCTCACCTTCCTTGATTTTCCTTCTCAGAATGCAGCTGGGCGCGGGGGTGGGGGGTGGGGAGAAAGGTAATCACATGACCCTGACCCTAGACACTGCAACCATTCTAAATATATGCTGGTTGCCCGAATTTTGATCTTATGACTTTGAAGATGCCCCAACAATTGTAAGTGGAAGAACTGGTTATAAGTTACTTTTTTCAGTGTTGTTGTAAGTTGAGAACTGTCTGTGGTTGTTGCTCAAATGATGAGTGCATTTTAAGTTATGAAATAAAATAAGAACATGAGTTCCAAAGTAAACTGTGTTGATTTACTAATATCAAACTTGATTTGTTCATCATATTAATATCAATATAATAACATCAATATTTGTTAAAACTATCTGTTTTGTGGGAATAGTACTCCAGAGGGTATTCGTTGTATAGTTGTAAGTATTTTTAGCAGAAAAGAATTATCTAGGCATGATTATTACTCATCCTGATGGATGCCCATTACAAGAAAGAGACAATCAATGAAGTCTTGTTGACACATCTTGATTTCTTGAGAGTATCTTATATTGTTGGGGACACTGTATTACAGTCATTGTATTCCTCTCTGAAGAGTCAAAGACCACCATACCTTGGAATTACTCTTGGGTAGAACACTATGGTTAGGTTGCTTGAAAGGATCATTGTACCCCCTGTTATACCAGTATTGAAGGTGTAGCTTTGCCACTGAGACAAATTCAAAGTGCTTGTTATAGGACACAACCCCCTTCAAAAATTTTAGCAAGGGTTCTCTGCCTGGTTTCTGGTTGGGCGTGGCCCTGGTGGGCATGGCCTAGTTGGCCTCCTTCACCACGGCAGGTAGGGGAGCTTTTTGCCCTCCCTGGGCTCTAGAGGTTTGCTTCGAGCCTCCGGGAGGGTGAAAACAGCCTCCCCAGACTGCGGAGGCCCTCTGGAGGCTGGAAACTGGCCCATTTCCAGCCTTCTCAAACTTCTGGTAGGCCCATTTTTCATCCTTCCCAACCCTCCACGCGCACGCTGCACTTACCTGCATCCAAAACCGGCCGCGTGGAGAGTCCTGGGAGGAGAGGGGTAGGCAGGGCCAGCCAGGAGTGGGATTTGGGGATTCTCCAAACTACGCAGAATCTTAGCTAGAGGTTCTCCCGAACCCCTGCAAATCCCCAGCAACCCACCCCTGACATGAATTTTCTTCATGTCTAAGGTATGTGTTTGCTTTTCTACCATAATAACAAAAGTTCCTTTATTTTCCTTAGGAGAGGAATTCCAAGTAACTTGGAGCTGTCTGGTGATACTAAATTAATGCCATGTATCTATGTTTATTTAAGACAAATAAAGATCTAATAAAGGGGAATATTTGTAGCTCAGGGTTGAAATGAGGGGTCCTTGGTGCTCTCTGAGCTTGCTTGATTTTTTTTTGCAGACATTTCATTACCCTAACTAGTAACATCATCAGTACTAGGCTAGCACTGATGATGTTGCCTGGTTTGGGTAGTGAAATGTTTGCGAGGAAACAAACAAGCTCTGAGAGTACCAAGGACCCCTCAAAAATAAGGATTTCTGAGAAATCTGATCTATTTATCTATTTATTTGTGAATGTGATGAATTCTCTCTCACAGCAGTGTGAGCATTGGAAGAGTCCTATTTTTTTTCATTTTTTTTCCAAATGTCCTAATTGCCAAAATTGGCTCAGAAAAGAATAAATAAATCTTCATCTTCAGCTGTGATACTAAATTCTTACAAGTATGAGAGTGATAAAAAAATATATTCTGAAAATAACTATCATTATCCAGCACTTACAGGCAGCTTGCAGTAAACAACAAAAACACTCTTGAAGAAATAAATATAAACCTGAACAATGTTAATATCATAAATAAACAAGGTCAGCTCATTGATGCTTGCAGATCTTTGCAGTAAAATCAGGAAAAGGTAACAGGTTTGCTTCAAGTAGAAGACTTGAGGTTTGAAATATACCATGTTTTGAATAGCCCAATTACTAGAATTTGACATGCAACTTAAGCTTAGCATGGCAATATTCTTTAGAATTACCTTTTAAGGAAGGAAAGAAATCAGATGTGCATTATATATTGGTTTTTGCCAAAAGCAGCATTTGCATTCTGGGTCTAATATTAGAAGCTATCCTTCTCTAATATTAGTCACATTTTCTTGGAAACCAAAAATTGCTGAACCAAATTGAAGTGGTTCGGGAATAACGAGAGGCACAACCAAGCAAGTGACAACAGCTCTTTAATTTACAGTGAGACTTCAGCAAAAACTCAGGGGCTGCAGTCCTCCTTATATACAATCCTGGAGGGACTGTCAGCCAATCAGAGACGTAGGCAGGTTTGAAACTCCCGCTCAAAAGTATCAATACATAACACCCCTCCCTTCCCAGACGGCACTGACATTCAAAAATTTACATAAGTACACACAAAATCTCGCAGGTGCCCAGGGCGAGTTCTCGTCCTAGTTGACCTGCGCAGTTCAGTGTTTGGTGGGGCGTCGAGCTGGTCGGAGGGACTTTCTGTCTCTCCCGGCTCCGCCAATGGAACCTCCTGGATTTTGTCCGGGGCGTGGTTATCCCCGGTTGGGAGTGGCGACTCGCTGGGGCGGCGCTGGAACCAGGGCTTGTCAGCTAAGTATTCTCGCGAACCCGGGCTTGAGTTAGCTGTTTTGGGAAAGTTGTTATAGTTAGGCTCGGATATGTCTAAATTTATGTTTGCTTCGCCGACTACCCTTTTTCTCAGCTGGTCTATGTGGCGCTTCCAGAGTCTGTCTACCCCTACGTCTACCGTATAGGATTTCGGGCCCGTTATGCCCACTATGGTTCCTGCAACCCATAGAGGTCCGCTGGCATAGTTGCGAGCGAACACCGGGGACCCAACCTGAAACTGTCTTAGTCCGGAGGTCTCTCCCTTGAAGTTTTCGTGCGAATAGTTGGGATGAAGCCTATCTAACACGCATCGGAGCTTCCTGCCCATGAGGAGCTCTGCTGGGCTTCTCCCTGTGGCTGTGCATGGTGTGGCATGCTGGACAGCTAAGAATTGATCTATCCTGGCCTGCCAGTCCCTGTTATCTAGTCTGGATAGGGCCTCTTTGGCCGTTCTTACAAAACGTTCGGCCAATCCGTTAGAAGCCGGGTGGAACGGGGCCGATAGGGCATGGCGGATGCCCAGTCCGGCCAAGTATCCCTCGAACAGGGTTGCTGTGAACTGAGGGCCGTTGTCAGATACTAGGGTATCCGGTAGGCCATGTGTGGCGAACAGCTTGCGAAGGGCCTTAATAACAGCCTCGGCTGTGGTAGAGGGCATTAAAATGATTTCGAGCCATTTCGAAAAGGCATCTACTACAATTAAAAACGTTTGCCCGTGGAAGGGTCCAGCAAAATCAATATGGATCCTCCCCCATGGCCCTTTTGGTTTCTCCCACTCTTGGATGGGCGCTACCGGGGGATCGGGGCGAGACTCCTGGCAGGGTCTGCACTTCCCCACCCACTCAGAGATAACTTGGTCCATGTTGGGCCACCAAACGTAACTGCGGGCTAAACTCTTCATTCTGACAATGCCCGGATACCCTTCGTGCAACAATTCCAAGACCCTCGTTCGCAGTTTTGTTGGCACTACCACCCGATCACCCCACAATAAACAACCCCCTTGCGTAAACAGTTCGTTCCGTTTGTTTACAAAACTTTGATAGTCCCCCCCGTCCACCTTGACCGGCCACCCTTTCAGCACCCACCCCATCACAGTGCGAATGATTGGGTCCCTGGCTGAGGCTTTAGCCACTTCGGCAGAGGAAATAGGTCCCAAAGTTAATGTGTCCAGTAGAAGGACGGAGGCCTCAGGTGTTGGATTGGTCAGTAAGTCAGGTAGGGGACAGCGGCTGAGGGCATCCGCGTGACCCAGGGTCTGTCCAGGTCGATGTACAAGTTGGTACGAATAGGCCGAAAGAAAAATAGCCCATCTAGTCAAACGTGGGGACAGGGCAGCGGGGGTGGGCCTGTCGCCTGCCAAAAGTCCTAGCAAGGGCCGGTGATCAGTCACAAGTTCGAATTGCCGGCCAAAGAGATATTCGTGGAACTTTTTAACCCCCGCAATTGCAGCCAGAGCCTCTCTGTCCAATTGGCTATAGTTTCGCTCTGCACTTGACAGGGTGCGAGAGTAAAACGCAATGGGCGCCTCTAGGCCGTTCGGCAGTCTATGGCCCAGGACGGCACCAACTCCTACGGGGGAGGCGTCACAAACCAATACAAGCGGTAGCGCTGCGTTGTATTGGATTAGGAAACTGTCTTCTGATAGAAGTCTCTTAACTGCCTCAAAAGCGGCTGCTTGTGGTTTCCCCCAGACCCATGGTACATTCTTCCCCAATAGTTTGTGTAGGGGATCTGCGACGGTAGCTTTGTCTTTTAGGAACATTGAGTAAAACTTGAGCAGTCCAAGGAAGGCTTGGAGCTCAGCTTTGGTCTTGGGGGCAGGTGCGCTCTTAATTGCTCTCACCTTGCTTTCGGTAGGGTGGATGCCTGTGCCGTCCACCCTGTACCCCAAAAATTCAACGGAGGGGACAGCGATCATACATTTATTATTTTTTAGCCTTAGTCCCGCTTCCCTAAATCTAGAAAGGACGTTCCTTACTCTATCCCCTAACTGACGTTCGTCCTGAGCGCTGACTAGAACGTCATCAAAATAGGGCACCACTCCGGGAAGCCCTTGCAGAAGGCGCTCCATGGTGCTTTGAAACAGGCCGGGTGCGACGCTCACCCCAAACTGGAGCCTGGTGCATTTGAATGCACCCCTATGAGTAACAATCGTTTGTGCCTCTGCCGTGGCATCATCAACTGGTAATTGTTGATAGGCCTGAGCCAGATCTAATTTGGCAAAAATTTTTCCGGGCCCCAGGGAGTGTAGTAGATGATGCACGATCGGCACCGGATAGGCGCTTGGCTGCAAAGCCTTGTTGATCGTGCACTTGTAGTCGGCGCAGATTCTAATTGAGCCGTCAGACTTAACTGGGGTCACTATAGGGGTTTCCCACTTTGCATGGTCGACGGGAACCAACACCCCTTGTTTAATCAGTTTGTCCAGTTCCGCATCGATCTTTGGTTTCAATGCGAAAGGCACCCGTCTGGCTTTGAGTCTTATTTGGGCTACGTTGGGGTCTAAGTTAAGGGAGATAGGGGTCCCCACATACTTGCCCAACGTGTCCCCGAAAACGTCCTGGAACTCGGTCAGGAGACTGTCTTTTAACGATGACTTGAGCATCTGGTGGACGCCGGTGAAACCCATGCCGAGGGCTCGGAACCACCCCATGCCGAGAAGGCTGGGAAGCTGCTTCGTGACGATGGTCAGTGGCAGGTCTCTTTCGTAGTCTCCGTAGGTGACTCGGAACGTGCCCACGCCTTCGAGGGGGACTCGGTTCCCCTGGTAGTCTAGGATGCACAGTCTCTGTTTGGAGAGCTGGTCCTTCCGGAACGACGGCAGGAGGGTCTTTAGGGTCGCCCAAGACATTATGGAGAGAGCCGACCCGGTGTCGATCTCCATTGAGCATGGCTTGCCGTTGATTTTGACCACCGTGCTGACTTTGTCCTCGACTTCCGCGCTGGCCTGGTCTATGTGAATGCTGCGGCCATCTCGAGGTTCAATTTTGTGCCGTTTTTTCGCGCCGCCTTCTCTCGTTGGTTGTTTCTGGCGCGTTGATTCCGGTTGGCTGCGGCGCTCACGTGGTTGGTGTTTTCTGGGCAGAATGGCTCTGCAGACTCGCGCCAAGTGCCCTTTTTTCTCGCAACGCCTGCAAATAGCCTCCCTATATTTGCAGGACAGTCTGTCATGGTGCCCTCCACAGCTGGGACAGCTTCGCCGGGGGCTGCCAGTGTCTTTCCTCTGGTGCTCTGTTCGGAAGACGTCTTCAACCGACTCGGACTCCGAGCTGGATCCGGCGTCTTCTCTGTGCACCGGGGCAGACTTGGGGTTGTCTTTGCTGGTCAGCAGACGCTGCAGCGTCTCTGCGGCTTTTGTGGAGGCTTCATGAGCCCTGGCCTCATCTAGAGCTCCAGCAAGCGTTAAATCAGGCTTGGCGAGCAGGCGCCGTTGCAGCCTAATGTCCCGGACACCACAGATGAGTTGCTCAAGCAACGCATCGTCCAAGTCTCTATAGTCGCAATGGGTTGCGGCTTTTCTCAGGCTGGCCATGTATGCGCTGACCGGTTCTCCCTCTCGCTATACGCGCTGTCTGAGTTGGTATCGTTGCACGAACTTGGAGGGCACGGGAGCGTAGTGAGCCCGGAGCGTGGCCATCAGGGTGTCCCAGGAAACGGTCTGGACCGGTGTTGGCTCGCACAGTGACTCTGCCATCTCGAACACGTCCGGTCCGCAGTGGCTTAGGAAGAGGGCCCTCTTCCGATTAGCGGAGAGCCCTTGCATGTCGCTGGCTTCGAGCGAGCATTCGAACCTCGTCAGGTACGAGACCCATTTTTCACGGGTCGGATCAAAAGGCTTGGGCGGAACGTAAGCAGACATGTTCGGTATGCCTCCTGTAGTTCGCCTCGTCGCCTAGCTGAAGCTCGTGGTCTCACTGGTTCGCTTGTTGTGACCTCGATCCCACCTTCGTCGCCAATGAAGTGGTTCGGGAATAACGAGAGGCACAACCAAGCAAGTGACAACAGCTCTTTAATTTACAGTGAGACTTCAGCAAAAACTCAGGGGCTACAGTCCTCCTTATATACAATCCTGGAGGGACTGTCAGCCAATCAGAGACGTAGGCAGGTTTGAAACTCCCGCTCAAAAGTATCAATACATAACACAAATAATAAGAGAGACTAAATAATTCTAGCTGACCCTGTCTTGGCTGAGAAACTGAACAGGATGTAAATTGGTTGGTATTTGGATGGTAGTGTAGGAAGTTAGCACCCACCCCTTTCCTAGAGGAATGAAATATTTTGGGAAATATTAAAATGGCAGAATATTATGTTTCCCTGGATGAAAAATGGAGAAGCATGTTTTAAAGCAGCTTCCACCTTCTTGCCCCCCCACCTTTGTTAATGGGCCAGAGGCAGAAACTCAATCTTTGTCAATGGACCATCACAACACAATAGGATCCATCTGCAAAACAATAGGGCCCATCTAGCAGCAGAAACTCACCACATGGCACCTGGGAAGATTACATCAGCCAGCAAGGCTAGCTAAGACCCCCACCCCTTGGGAGTCTGACAACCAATCAGGATACTCTTTCTGGGCCCCAGGACGTTCAAAGCCAAGGAAAGCATAAAAACCCGTGGACTTGCTGTATTCCACCCCTTTTCTGTTCAGGAACTCAAACCATGTTTCCTGTCCATCATTAAACCATCTTTTCAAGCAGTCTCCATGTTTCCAGTGTCTTTTTCCCCACTTGGAGCAGAACCCAGAAGGACATTTCTTCTTACAGTAGATTAGACCAGGAAGTCCAAAAATGTCCCAGAAGAAGTCAGGGACAAATCACTTTTGCACATTTGCCAGCAGAGCTGCATGAATCACATTGAATTATACTGGACAATAACTTTTTTTTAAAAAACAAAAACTTTCCTTGGTCTCCACTGAATATTATTACAAATCTTCATGTAATGCTTCATGAAGATTTGATGACGAGCGTTTTAAAAAAAATCTAAGAGGAAAGGTTCATGCATACAGCATTGTTTTGCAATAGCTATTTAGTTGGACTTTCAGATTAGAATCGTATTATAATTCTATTGAAAGGCAAATAACAACAGAACTAAGAAATAAAGGAAGAAATGAAAAAGTAAACAGTGGAAGTGGATTTGGTGGCCAGGTGAGACGAAAATAATTACTTTATATAGAACAGACCAGACAGAAACATAAGCTACATTCTCCACAGTAAATAAACTGTAAAATGATTCATGATAGACACTTCATGAACATTTCTGGATTCAAAATAAAAAGTGTAAAATTAATGGATAAAGACACTCTTGCCCTTCTTGTAAGCTCATAGTTGCATACACACACACACACATACACCATAACTCAACAAGTCTAAAATATCATGTCCTTGTTACCCCACAGAATAATGAATTATCAGTAGAGCCAGATGAATAGATACGCATGAATATATCTATATGTGTTTTTTCATTGTTTTGTAATTAAACTCTAGATTCTGCATCCTGTAAAAGCACTCGATGAATACCAATAAGATTTGAGCCACAGCAGACCCATGGAAACAGACAGGATAAAAGTAGAAAAGTAGGCATAAATATTAGACATGTGGCGCAGAAGGTGGAGTGCCAGTTGACAAAGAAAGCAGAAACTCAACGTATGTAAAGGAATGAAATTTGCTTGATGACTGACAATCCTTCAGGCCAGGCCAAATAACAGACACAACAAATTTCACTGTGATTATTTTATTGATATTTTAATGACATAATCTTCAAAACCTATGTGTCTTTTTCTTTCCTTCCCTCTTATACTCAGTTGGATGAGGAAAGAGACAATGCTTAGCTTATTTCTTCTGCTTTCTCTTATTTCCTAGAATT